TAGATCTACAAAATGGCTAAAAGCAGAATCTAAAACTAAAGCTATTTACAAAATTTACAAGCACTACAGCCTAAGCCATGTGAGCTTTAAGAGATGGCTTAAATGACGCAATGTCTTCGATTTGATTCGCTGACTTTTGGAGGTAACGCATTTCAAAGTCTGCTGGCTAAAAATGTAAAGGATCGATGCATAAACTCCAGATTATAGGGAGGTAGATCTAGCCTTGTGCTAAGCCCACGTAAGTTGTACGGTACATCCTTAAAATTAAAAAAATCACTGATTTAAGGTGCCCCCTTGTCATACAAGCATCTGTATAACATAACTAACGATTGGAATTGCCTACGTTTCTCCAAGGACTTGATATCAGCCATCTTGAGGAGGAAGTCATATGACACAGACTTCGAATAGCCTAATATAGTTCTTCATACAAAATTATTAGTTGTCTTTATTTTGGTAGTCTCCGCATTGCCTACTCCCAGTTAAAGGGGACTACAGTAATCTAGGTGAGGGAGAACATAACCCTTGTAGAGACGAACTAATCCGTCCTTAGAAATGAACTTACGTATTCTCCGCAGAGCCGAAGCCTTTGCGCAGGCCTTATTCAGCTGTTCCTTTATGTGCGCTTTAAATGTTAATTTACTATCTAGGGCCACTCCTAGGATTTTAAGTGTATCCTTCGTATGGACATTAGAATCATTAAGATCGAATTCGTACTGGTATGAAGACGGACCAATGGAAACAGCTTGCGTTTTAGCGGCATTAATCTGTAAAAAATTCATTCTGAACCATCTCGATAGCACATTCAGATCGGAGTTAATTACAAACCGCAAAACCATTGGTGACACATCAGAGACGTATTGAGTGCTGTCGTCAGCATACAGCCTCAAAGACGATACCCGCCAGCCCTGGGAACGAGATTGTTGGTTTCTTACAGGGCAAACAAGTGAAAAACATTGCCAATGGAAGAAATCGCGGTTGAGATATTGTTTATCCTAGACAAAAGGAAATGAAGACCTGTTCATCTTAAAGCGGATAATGTCAAAATATGGGTGGAAGTAATCATTGTTACTGTATGCAGTAGCCATCGTAGATGTCCTCATGGCAAACAGTTATGACTTAAATCTTGCCTAAACCGGCGATAAGTACATTTTGCATAACTACGTACGAAATCGTAGTCTCGTTTTGATAGAATAAACAGACTCCACCGTGATTTCCCGTATTGGCAAATTTTATCACTTGTTTGCCCCCTGAAATAACACGTGACATAGCTTTTATCCAATCGATCCTAGAGCGCGTGCAAAGATGGCGGGTATCGCGAATAAGGTCTATTATTCTTGTTATACCACACACAGCCCATAATTCCTTGCTTTGATAAACTGGGGTCGAAACGTTCGTTTTTAAATCTCTTTACGGTCACATTGAATTTATCAACTCAGTTGATGAAAGCAAATCCCCACCACCGAAGCAGCACCAAAATTGAACTTGAATTTGAACCTAATTACTTTCTTCATCGTTTCTAAAAATCCTTGAAAGTCCCTTCAGTGGCAAAGGATAATAAAAGTGTGGATGCTCGACTTCGCCTGCCACGGACGAAGACTTCCAGCTTTGAACTTCAACTGCAGCTGCAACGTGGGACGAGGGGAGGGGAGGGTGGTTCCCCGGCGGTCAAACGAGATATGAAAACGCTAAGCAAAGTAAATCAAAACTGGGGTTGCTACTTCACTGTTGACAGTTACCAATCGCTGCTGATTTTGTTGAACTTCCTGAAAGCCTACAAAAATGTTCTTAACCAACTAGAATTACAAGTCATTCTTCTACACTAATTGATAACATATTCTTTAATTCTATTGAATATCAAACAATCAGTGGGAATTTATTACATGATCTCACAGACCATTTGCCTAATTTTCTCATCATTGAGAGGTTTGCTTTTTCAAGACATAAAGAGAAAAAATGTAAACGAGATTATTCTAATTATAATGAAGAAGCTTTTATAAATGAATTTAGTTCCATTGACTGGTCTGATTTATTTCATGGACTCTCAGATACTACTGAAATGTTTGATAAGTTTTATACAAAAGTAAACAATGTTATTAATAGTCATTTACCTTTAAAGCCACTTACTCGAAAGGAATCAAAATTTCAAACAAAGCCCTGGATCACCCCGGGATTAAAAGCATCCATTACAAATAAAAATAGGTTGTATAGGCACTACCTGAAGACACGTACATGTTACAGTCATACCAAATTCAAATGCTATCGAAACAAACTAAATCATCTACTTAAACTAAGTAAAACCAATTATTATAAAGAATATTTTGTGATCAACAAGGCAAAAACAAAAGAAATTTGGAAAGGAATAAAGCAACTTATATGTCTCAAGTCCAAAGGTTCCACCTTGCCTAGCAAATTAATTATTAATGAACATGAGATTACAAATCATAAAGTCATTGCTGATCAATTTAATAAATTTTTCTCTAACGTTGGAAAAAACTTGGCCTCAGCTGTACCAAAACCAAATCTTGCATTTGATTATTATTTAGATAAACCCCAGGCCTTTAGTTTTTTCTTATCACCCACTAATTCAACCGAGATTGAGAATTTAATTATGTCCCTAAGTTCAACCAAGGCTTGTGGCCCATTTAGTATTTCAATCTCCCTTCTTAAGACTTTAAAAAGTGTTTTATCAGTCCCTCTTCAGCTGCTCTCTTTAATTGCTCATTCTCTACTGGTATGTTACCCTTCACAATGCACTCCTCATGTATAACTATCACCATAATCTTCTTCCATCTTCCTTTGAAAATTTCTTTAAAACGGTAGCATCCATACACTCATACAATACCAGGCTTGCTTCTAAATCAACCTATTACCTCAAAACTATCAAAACAAACTATGGTAAATTCAACTTTCGCTTCGCGGCTGTAAAAGTTTGGAATAACCTTGATGAAAGCATTAAACATCTCCCCCTTAAATCCTTTAAAAACAAAGTCATGTCAAACATCTTACAGTCTTACTGTTCGTGAGTCTTTTTTTTTTTTTTTCCTTTTTCCTTTTTTTTCCTTTTATCTATTTACTAATTCCTTGTTTTTTCTAGCTTTAGTGCCAACCTACCTCCTATGCCTGAACATTATTTAGCTTTACTCAGCTCGATTAGCTTTTTAGTTATTCTGAGTAAATGTTACCTTTTTTGTATTAATATATTATATTGTAAATTAAGTTAACTTTTATTTGGTAATAAAGCTTATGTTATGTTGTCTTAGTGTTTTTGAAAAAAAAAAACGGCTTTGTTATCGTTACGGTTAACTTATCATTTCGTGCTTCGTTTCTTTGTGTCAATATATTTAGGAGAGGTGTCAAATTAAATGTAAATAAAATCCTCGCAAATAAAACTTTTTGGAAAACGCGCTTAGATGTCTGACTACGTGGAAGTAGAAGTTGTCGGTGGTTTACGAATTTGCTTTCCTCTTTGAGCACTTTCAAAAGTCGTCATAAACCCCGAAACTCAGTAGCTTGTTACAATAAAATAGCCCCCGGTTATTAAAGTGCTGCCGAACCCAGAACGAATCTAGTAAAAATAGCAATAATTATTAGTACGATGTCTAATTAACCGGGCAAGATGATTTTGACGGCATAAAAATAATCTTATCGGTATTTTTTTGACACGAAGTTCATAGAATAGTGCCGCCATAACATTATATAATGAGCCACGTGTAATTTACATGTTTATTTATTTATTTAGATTAGACAATTTTGGCGGAGTCACTTAAACCATAGTTAGTAACTAGCTATGCTTCAACAGCATGACCCCAATTACTGCGAGCCCCTAACAGGTCCCTTACCCTCACGACAAACTCCACCTCCCCTCAGGAAAAATCCGATTTTTCCTGGGGGGAGGGGGGTCTGTACACAGGATACATGAGAAAAAGACCACACCACCAGTGGGGTCTGCTTTTTCTACTCTTTTCGAATATCAATGTGGCTTCTTTTACGTTGTCCCTTCCAATTGTTAAGAACGGATGAAGAAGACAAGGCTAACGACTTAGTGTCACCTCTCAATGACGCGATCATCTGAGACATCTAAGACAAGATCTTAAACGCTTCAGTCATTGTGTACTATTGAGTCATGGATGCACTTGGGAGGATTACTAAGCTCATAAGAACTTGAAGTAGCCGTTTGTTGACGTCACCAGCGTTCTCAACTGGAATATGAAGCACACTGAGGCTATTTAATAACAATTTAATCAGTTAGGCGAATATTCCAGCTATGTTACGATCTGAAAATTTTATGGTAATTACTTTCAAAAAAAATTCTTTTAAGTCAACGCTAGCCATGTGGACTCCCGCAATAACAGACACCCCGATAATACGGACAGCAACTAAATTCCATGCAAAAATGAATTACAGATGTCTGACAAAACTAACTGACTGACTAACCAGAGTTCCCTACAGTGTCCGCTATATAAAGGGAGTTGACTGTTCTTAAAACCAAGCTACGCTACACATTTGAAATTCAAAGTACGTCCTCTGTTACAAGAGTTTTAACCGACGTTTCGGCAATGCTGCCTGCTCCGGGGTACAAAAGGAAAAGTTTTCCGCTACAAAGTTCGTTAAATTACGTAGCTCACGTGTCCTTTTACGAACTTTTGTACCCTGAAGAAGGCAGCATTGCCAAAACGTCGGTTAAAACACTTGTAAAAGCGTCGATTTACAATTGTCAAATTAACGTTGACGATTATAGTTACTCTCCTCATTTTTGTTATTTGTTATTAATTGTGTACAAACTAGTTTAACGTTAGCTTAATAAGAGTAAACTCTTCTCTTTTATGGACTAAACAACCGGGCCTTTTCTCAAAAACACAACTCTGAAAAAAATCATTTTACATTTATTTGTTCTTGAGGATGCAGTCGCCTTTGATTTGGGGTGTCTCACTGCCAGTGTCTTCACTTATTCAGCTTCCGTTCTTTCTCCAATTCCTTTGTTGTGTACATAGGGGTTTTTCTCACAGTTCCTCTATTTTCAATGTTGTATGTGTATACGAGGGGTTTTGCTTCAGTGCTTCCTCCGATTTGAGATTAGACTTGAGTTTTTCTGCACCTTGAACGGAAGCGACACCTGTTGTATATTTTGTTTCGGTAGCTTTTTGCGCAGAACTCAGTTCAAACTTAGGATGTCCATGCATCGCGTTGTGTTCAAGCAACAATCTACAGACGTTTTCGTTACCCTCTCTGGCACACCAGTCCAAGGGTGTATATCCCCATTTATCTTGAATATTTACATCCGCGTTGTGTTCAAGCAACAATCTACAGAGGTTTTCGTTACCCACTCCGGCACACAAGTGCAAGGGTGTATATCCACATCTATCTTGAATATTTCCATCCGCGTTGTGTTTAAGAAACAATGTACAGAGGCTTTTGTTACCCTTCACGGCACACCAGTGCAAGGGTGTAAATCCAAGACTATTTGGAATATTTACATCCGCGTTGTGTTCAAAAAACAATCTACAGAGGTTTTCGTTACCCTCTCTGGCACACAAGTGCAAGGGTGTGTATCCATCGTTATCTTGAATATTTACATCCGCGTTGTGTTCAAGTAACAATCTACAGAGGTTTACGTTACCCTCTTTGACACTCAAGTGCAAGGGTGTATATCCATCTTTATCTTGAATTTTTACATCCGCGTTGTGTTCAAGTAACAATCTACAGAGGTTTTCGTTACCCTTCATGGCACACCAGTGCAAGAAGGTATAACCATGGTTATCTTGCATATTTACATCCGCGTTGCGTTCAAGTAATAATCTACAGAGGTTTTCGTTACCCTTCGAGGCACACCAGTGCAAGGGTGTATATCCAAGATTATCTTGAATATTTACATTCGCGTTGTGTTCAAGTAACAATCTACAGACTTTTTCCTTACCCTCTCTGATACTCAAGTGTAAGGGTGTATATCCCCATCTATTATCTTTCATATTTACATCCGCGTTGTGTTCAAGTAACAATCTACAGAGATTTTCGTTACCCTTTCTGCAGACACACCAGTTTAAGGGTGTATTTCCACATCCATCTTGAATATTTACATCCACGTTCTGTTCAAGTAACAGTCTACAGAGGTTTTCGTCATTTCTTCGGACTGATACGAAAAGTGGTGTATTTTTATCGTTATCTTGAATATTTACATCCACTTTGTTTGCAAGTAATAATTTGATGAGGTTTTCGTGATTTTTTTGAACTGATAAGTGCAGTGATGTGATCCCATTACTAATCTGTACATTTACATCAGCTCCATGTCTTACAAGCAAGTACGCTGCCATGTAGTTGTTACAGTCAGCTGCTAATATTAAAGGAGTTTCTTTTTTCTCTTTTCTTTGGGCATTAACGTCTGCTCCAAGATCAATGAGGGTCTCAATGAACTGACTTGAGGATGAACGACTCGCCCTCATCAAAGCTGTACAATCACTGTTTGACCCTAGGGCATTAATATCTACACCGTCATTTAATACAAACTCAACCGCCTGTTCCACATCATCATTGCATGTAGCCCACTGCAGCTCAGTCAGTCTACTGTTGTCCTTAGCCCACTCGTTGTAAAGTGCTTCGATTCTATGATGACTTAGTGTTCTTCTCTTTATAAGAGACAAGATGTCAACTGCGGTCTTGCCTGGAAAATCTTTTGCGTTATTTCCCGTTGTCACAAGTTCCATCTCTTCTACAATGTTATCAAGAAGGCCATTAGCATTTAAAACAATGTTGTATTCTCCGTCCAAGACAGCAGCCTGGAGCAGGCTAAATCCAGATTGTTTATCCACTTGCAAGAAAACTTTTCTCGAGAGTTTCCTGAGACTGACCTATAACAAAAATGATCATGTTCATGAGTATTGTTCATGAGTGAAAATATAAAGATAGTTTTCATTAGATAATCGATTAATGGTTGTTTCCTTGTATTGCAAATAAACACATTTAATTTCAATAAAATTAAATTTTTATTTTAATTTAATCGATTTTCACTGCATACACGAGAAGAGCAGCGGGGAAGGACTAGTCTGGAACAGAAGAACCATACGAGCTAATCCTGACTCAACTGAAATTTAACTTTAGTCTTACAATGTAAAAGAAGTAACACATACAAACTGATAATTATGATTTAAGACTACGCTATCATTTTATGCCCAGGTAACATGTGGGTAATGAGAAATCTTATTTTGTGTAGCCTGCGAGCAAGCTGTCCAGGGCGCTCTGGTGGGGGGGAAGGAAGGAGAGCTTGCAACTACGTCTCTGGAATTTGAATTACACCTCCAATTCCCCAGTGGTTCCCCGTCGACTGAGCTGTCAGTTTTCCGCAAATAAGTACGAAGCGGAAACGAGCGCGAATGAAGGCAAACATTGAAAAACAATGGCGTCATTACTAATGTCATCCCCGCCAATCAGCATTTCGCATCGACCTTCTCGATGCCGATAGTCAAATTCAAGAGAAGTAGCTGCAAGCTCTTCTTCTCTTCTACCCCCCCCCCCCCCCAGCCGCCAGAACTCTACGGAGACCTTGCTCGCAGGCTATATTTTTTGTAAAAAGCTCTGCAAGGTTTTTGACGAAAGACAGGCTTAGGTCTTCAGTTCTACGGTCCTCGGGTAAGTAATTCCATAAATGACAACAAATGTAAGGTATCTAAAAGGTGGAAGCGACTAAAAACTCGTACGATAATGTGTAGGTAACGTGAAACATTTAAGGTAGAACCCCATCTGAAAAACAAAGTTTGGCAAAATGGATTAGGGAAGACTGACAAAAGCTGACATCTTACTGGTTGATGAAGACTTGGGCTGGCATCATTCTCCAGCAGCAACTGCACTATGTATTGATGATTTTGACGTTCAGCTTTTTGCAGAGGTGTTCGTTGAAACTAAACACATTTAAGCAGAGTAATACGCGTTAATTACCACTTGCTATTTACCACAGAAACATCTTGACCGCATACCTCTGTCTCCATAACATATATCAAAGTAATTTTAACTACAAATTTACAGAGCCAAGCAATTAAAAGAATTGGGCTAAATTAATAGTTTTGCAAACAGATCTAATGTCAGCCTTCAGAAAAAAGCATCAACAAAAACAAAAAACAAAAAACGATTGGTTATCCTGCGACAACTAAGCTTTTTTTCGTTGTTGTTGTTGCCTTTTTAATTCTTTAAATGATTTGGTCTTATAGGAGGGCAATAATATTGGCATTATTATCATTCAAAATATTTCCCTGATTCTGATTGGCTAAAAGCACACGCATAATTCACCATAACAAGCTGCTGATGACCAAATTTGGAAGAATTTTGCGATCAATCAACCGATGACGTCAAAAGTGCAGATTTCTTGCAGGTTAATGCACCGTTAACCGAGAAGCCCTGGAGACGAGGTTGAATTAAACAAAAATGGCGGACATTTTACTCGTTTCAAGAGTAAGAACTAGGCAAAATAATGGATAAAAACATGGCAAGAAGACATCTCGAAGGGCGACCTCTGCTATTTGGAGAATATTTGCGGAGCTGAACAACTCTAAACGTGCACTATCGAAGATGAACTTAACATCGATGGAGGTAAGCATGTTTTAGCTATGTTTTTAAACTAGGAATTATTTTGAATGAATAATAACATAATTATTGAATTCGGCTTTCGTATGATATGAAGAATGATGGAGATCTCGGAGGGTGTTATCCGCCTCGGCCTACGGCCTCGACGGATAACACCCTCCTCGATCTGCATATTTCTTCATAAGATACTCAGCCTCATTCATTAATTGTTAAATAATCCCCTCATTCATTTTCTGTTACAAGCGCGCTAAAATTCATCAAACCCCCTTTAACAGTTGAAAAGTGGCTTATTCACTTAATTGGTGTAGGAGGCATAATGGAGAAGGCGCTTAAATATGTGGGAGAAAAAGAGGAAACATAACAATGACTATGGTGAAGTGATACAAGTGGGACTAAAGGATACCACAGATGGAATTAGAGCAAATGTATTTACCTGCGCAATGGAACATTCAATACACGTTTTCTTCCTTGCCCCACCCCTCTCACGGGCACTATATTACTCTAAGTAATATATAACGTTCACCAACTCACCCTGTCTTTAGCGCTGATGTTTGCACCATGTTTCAACAACAGTTTGACAACAGGTTCCTGTCCATACCAACAGGCAAGATGAAGAGGGGTCAGAGAAAACTACAAAAATAGGAAAAACCATCACAGTTAGATGAGGTTGAAAGAAGCCAGCTAGTTCAGTAACAATGTTGGCTTTTCAAGAACTTGCATGGAGTGATTTTACTTAACTTGTGAAATGGATAGTAGACTAATACGCAGCATTACACTATAATTGAAAGAGTTGGCTAATTTGAGCAAGGGAAATAGCAGCCATCGAAGAATGCAAGACTGCTGTGTGGCAAAGACGTTAATGAGTCTCACTCTATACAATCTTTGCCAAGTTTCGAGTTTTCGTAAGATGATTTCTCCGAAACTATTTGGTGTACCAGGCTCAAATGTTCACAGATAACTGAAATTGCTACGCTCTTTTAATATTCAGAGAGTATATTTTAATAGCTTGATCAGAGAATGAAAGGCATATGTTTATAATGAGGGAAAAATTGTAAACAAAGATTCGCCTATAGCATTGCTGGTGACAGTAACTAATGCTTCGCAACCTATGAGGAAATCATCATTCAGTTCTTGACCGGGCAATGGACAAATTCACCAGGACGATCAGGTTTAACCTAATGATGGCATTTTAAATCATGCGAGCTCTTTGTTTGACTTGCCCCAGTTCGTTTCTGGAAGCCTTTTTTAACATGTGACTAGCCACCTTCGAAGGGCCCATTTTCCCGCTGGCTCGAAACTCCTTGCGAAACCGCCGCGAGACCAACACAAGAACTTGTCCGTAGGCTATTGCATTAGTGCGTCGCAGCCAAGGTGAGAACAGAATAAGAGAATCTGCTACTGAAGCGAACGCGAGAGGTAGGGCTTAACGTAGGACTTGAATAAACTGGAGAGGACTTAAACCTGATCTCTTTGATTCACATCGTCACCACTTTCAAGAAGCATTTTGACCATCTCGTATTGTCCACTGATAGAAGCATTGTGAAGAGAACCTCTCGACGCCTGTTTAAAAAGTTTGATTAAATCAGAAGGGAAATAAACATTCTTCAGCCAACATACCTAACTGATTTACACTAGTGGATGTTTTAGTATATATCCCCTCTTCAGGGTAAAACTTTCCGTTTTTCCCCACCACTTCTAGCTTTCCCTAGTAAAGTTCCTCGCCACTCCAATAAAGTAAAGTGGCTCGCTGCTCAAACGGTTAAATAACGATGCTACGTCTGGTAATAAACTCAGCGTCATCTGAATCTAATACATGTGTAAGTCTTAAAAAGATTCATTCCACATTCCTTTGAATGCACAATAACCTTGCACTACTCTAAACATCGCCCAGAACTTACTCTTGCCCTCTCAGCTCTTTCAACATGGGTTAGGGCCAGCTTCTTGTCCTAGGAAGATAATTAACAAACTACAATTTATGACTGACATGATATTTTTCGGTGCAATCACACTACTTCAAACCACCTTCCTCTTATAACACATTTCGTGGAATAAGAAGCCGCGCTCATATGAGCCCCCTCCCCGAATAAGTGCCTACCCCCTTGGCCTAGCTGGCAGATAAATACCTTATTCCCCTCAGTTTCTTAAATAGAGGGTATAACACAACTAAAGCCTTTTTCTTTCCTAACTTGAATTAAGGTCTCGTCTCTTATTGTGGCATTAATACTTGAGTACTGTGTTCTCCGTAAAGTCAGTTTAAGTCCCATTTCTAACTTTGTGTGTCTGTAGTATGTAAATTATCTGCTCATAAAAAAACAAATTTGCGTCAAATTAACTTTTATCTCGAAAAAGGAAAAATGTATAACAAGCTCCGATAAAATGCGCTCTTAAGGTCCTTCCCTCTCTCCGATTACGTGTCCTAGTTAGTCTGCGTAGCAAGCGTTTCTGATTGAGTTATTGTGTTGACGTTGTAGCCAGACCGAAAAAGAGGGGTTCCAATTTTCTCGACGAATTCTCACAGAAATACTTGGTGCACAGGCTTCGCCCTCCTTTGATATATTCCCCTCCATTTTGGACGAACATTTGATTTAAGAAACAAAGCGCTTATGCAAGGAAATATGGTAATCACTGTCGACCCTTTGTTAAGAATGTTTACAGGCGTTCTCTCGCTCTCGACCCCTCGTCCCCCCTCCCCCGCCCCGTTTTCCCGGTGTACAATTTTTAAATTGTAAGTTAAAATCGCTCGCGCCCCACTGACCGCCGCGCTCTACTATCTGAACACCTGGAACAGGCTAGCATTGTTAAGGTTAGTCAAGATATGATGACGTCATATATGACGACACAGTGACCGTCTTTTCTTTTTAGAATTAGTGTATTCAACTGACATCTCAATCATCTAAATAAGAAAATTTCCATTAACATTAACTAAACATTGGAAGTGCCTCTTATTCACGTTACAAACCTGTTTCGTGCTGAAATTGGCAAAAAAGGGCCTATTTGAAGCAAATTGGTAACTTTCTTTAACCCTTTGGTGACGGCCGGCGAGTAGCGAAAAAACCACATTTTTCACCAAGTCCCCTTCTTTGGATTGGTTTTTCGGCTAATTAGCATGCCTAAAGAATGGCTAAAATGAATTTTGCAACAAAAAAGGCATATTTTCCGACTAATAATATACACGAAAAAATTACGCAATTCTGATTGGCTGAGAAAGGAGTGCAGTTCTTCTGTAACACGAGTGAAAACTTGTAACACGAGTGCAAAACTTGTAACACGAGTGCAAATTACAAATGGTTTCTGATTGGCTAAAAACACAAAAGAAACCACCAAGAACCAATCAGATTTTAGCTGTTTTAACAACAAAATTTAAGAAAATGACCATGGTTTTCTGCAAACAACGATTTGATTTTGTACGCAAAACAACAATAGAAAAGTTAAGAAACATTCCAAAAACCCGAACCCGGTAAAAAGTACGTCTTTCTGGCTAAATGTATTGAAAATGCGGTGCTAAGAGAAAAAAATACTGTCAACAAAAGCGAGGAAAATGAGCCAGAGAAACTAAACAAGCTGCTTATAACAGACTACGCTAGCGTAAAAAATAAAAAACAAAAACGGTGGTAACCAGACGCTAACCATGACAGCTACACTTTTCAGGCATTTAAATGAACAAGGATACAAGTTTTCCAAGATAACAACAGGGATTTCAAGTCACGTACGTTATTTGTTAGAGGAGAAAGGTGTCCGGTTGCTCTCTTTAAGACTTTTTTCGAGCGAAGACCTCTATTAAAACACTGGCCATGCGATGGTTATTTTCTACCTATTTACATGGTCTTCAGGGGGGGGTCTTACAAGAATTTTGATCTTTCCAACATATTTTTCCTCTCTCCTCCCCTCCTCTTCATAAATAATGACCGGTCCCTTAATACTGGCAGTTTCCAACATCACAACAACTGTGGATCCACTCACCCATCGATGGCAGCGTCAAAAGAAAACAAATTGCCTCCTTCATTTTCGGGTTATAAATCTCACACATTTCCCCATGAATCCAGCTGTGATGGGGTCTCAGGAACAGACAACTATGAACAGTGGTTAAACTACTCAGCAAGTGTCTTTTATCTTTGGCTGCTCCAAGCGTTCTCCTGATTTCAAAAGGGCAGTATACTTCTTGTAAACGCCGATCGCTCATAATCGAGGATGAATTCAAAAACACTTACTTTTACTGACTATCGTAAACCGAGTTATTTTTAACACGCTGGTGACCATGTAAAATCAATCCTTGCAGATTGTCAAGTTATTAGCTGAATGATTTTAAAAGCGTTAGTCTTGAAAAAGTTTGAATTTGACAAAGGTAGTAGTCTGTTTTAGGATTAGTCAGAATATCCAAAACGAGGTATCGCTGGAAATCTTTGCAGACGTTGTTGCTTGCCAATTTATTAACTTGAACTTAAAGCTAAATGGGCCCAAGAAGGAAAATATGCATCGTTCCATATGGAACGATAACGACCAAAGCAGTCGTCGAAGGTTTAAGGCCATCTTTTTCACAATGCTGGAAGAACATAATTAGAGGTATTGTAACGTCGTTCTACGTCAAGTAAAACATACCTCTACCAAGGAGCAATAAGGCACAAATGAGAGCAGATAACGTGCTCCCTGATTTGTTTTGTTTTACACAAACAATCTAGTAGTTTTTCAAACTAACATCACGGAAACAGATATTTTGAAAAAAAATTTTGGTATTGCAAATTTGAACTGCTCATAGCAAAGCCCTCAGAGTCTTTTTAAGGCTTCCATCCCAAAAAGACACCCTGTTCAAGACGCTTAATAGTAAAATTCTATATCCTGTTTAATACTCAAGACCTTTCGCTCAGCAGCACATACCTGTATAGGCCAAATAAGGGAGTGAGGAACCGAACCCTCTCGAAATGTGCTCAACTCTTCAGTCTAGAGCTTATTATAGAACAAAAGCGCTATGATCCCATAACTGTCATCATTCCCATAACACCATTCTTCACTGCTGACACTCGCGTTTGGAAAATTTAACATAAACTTAGATTCACATGTGCTGCATTTGCTGCTCAACCATTATAAGCTGGAGAAAGGTTCCTACGCATGAGTTGAAACTACTCTACTCAACGTGCCAACAAGAGAAGCAGAACAAGGGTTCTTCTTCACATTGAGGCTTGATAAAATTGCTCCTGTAAAGTCGAAAAGATGACTCGCATGGCGGCAGATTCTCAAGCTTTATCTTTCGGCCTTAAGCTTGGGGTGGATCTCGTAGCAAGCACATCCACAGTATGCCACTTCTTTTCGTACAGTTCACACACGGGTGGTTCCGTATCTTGAATTTAAAGTTCTCCTGCGATACTGATTACTCTCTCCCGTGATACTGGTCGTAACTCGGACGTACGCTCCATTGCTTGGAGTAGCTGGACTGCTTTCCACTTCCCTTTAGCAAAGAAGGCAGAGATGTTATCAAGGCCTGTAATCAAGTTTACACTGATAAGGGCTCTCATGAAGCACTTGTTAACATTGTCTGGGTCGAGTTGCCTAGAAAGATCACGTCTCTTCCCTTTTTCATGTGGCACCTTTTCCAAGTCAAGTTTTTGCTATGAGCAAGCAGTAGGACAAATACATCAGTCTCAGTGTCAGTGTATCAGAGTGCATCACACTGTCATTCGTGCGCGCACGCCGAGCATGGAGAAAAATAGTCGCATCAGCCTCTTCGTCACTGAACTGTACCTCAGGAACAGGGTCTCCGATCACGATGTGTCTGCGTCTAGTCGCCCGACTGGTCTTTGGTTGTCACACGTCCATGCTCCAGTTGCCGCGTCTGCTCTAAATTTTTCGGTTTTGCCCTGTGGCACAAGGAATTTGACGATTTCAGCTTATTTGTGTTGGCACTGATCTGCTCGTTCCTTGACTTCACAGTATAGACAGGGAGTAAGTCCCTATCTTGTACACTGTCAAAGGTAGACATTATTTTCAGCCTTTAACGATTTTGATCAACACTACGTTTACGTGCCTGCTGCGCGAAGCTACTTACTCTAAGCGACCACATGGAACATAGCTCCAGAGGAGACCTACAACTTCTACAAGACTGCCGTTTAGTCGGAACTGCCGGTTACGTTCCCGGTTTGCCGGAACTGACCTAGAAGTGCCATTCGAGCACAAGAGGAAGTACTAGATCCTTGTTGCGAACCTTATGCACGGCCTTCACCTTGGCTTTCTTCACTGGATCAAAGATAGCGTAGGATTGGATGACCAACGGCTCTTTACAAAGTCATTCGCTGGCTGCTTTGTCTTGCCCTTGGAGGGCAGTCAGTCATCACTTCAGTGTGGACAAGCTCAGCGAGTTGCAAATCTCTCTTGTTGGTGAGCTAAGTTTGCCCATTACATTGATATTTGACGAGATGTGTGGGGAATTACATTCAGCTGAAACCTCTGAGACTGATTCCGGTCATGGGTCACGGAAACGTGACTGGATAAGGTTGTCCAGCAAGAAATTGTTTTCAAGAAGAGACTCTATTCAACACACTTGCAATGCATACATATGATTTATTTACTTACTCTTTTCTGAAACAATTTTCTAAACCTTACATTTTTTCTACTTATTATACAAATTGCGAACTGCCGGTCTTATTGAGTGACCAATAACGGGCGATGTTGACTCACATGGGACGTCAGGTAGTTATAATTTAAGCACTAGAAAGAGCGGAAGTCATGTTTTTAGGTCAAATATGTTTTAAATCTTCGTTAAGACGAGATCTGTTTACGTTAAAAGAATATGAGCAACTGTTCAGCCTTCCCAAAAATTCAAGATGGCGGCCAAAGGAGATTATGAGGGGCAAATTTAAATTTCGATTTACGAAGTGAAAGCTACCGTTTTATCCTTGCTATCATGCATTTTTGTGTGGCTTAATAGTCAAAGATTAAGTTTAGACATGTTTCGACTGTTTCCCTCAAGTCAGTCATAAACCCAAATTTTCGGGTCTCAGCTGATGAACTATGAGGACTGCTTGTTTATATTGCTCGCGTTACCAGTTCCCGGTCATAAAAAAGATAAAGAAAGAAACGAACAACACCTTACTTTTGCAACACCTGAGCTTTTGTCACTCCACCCTGTATCTTCTAGTTGACCTGGGTAAGCTGTTTGAGATGAAGTCTCATTGATACCTGCAACACCTAGTAAAAAAAGTAACAATAACGTTCAACACGAAACACAACTTGTAACGCCAAGGCAAACATGATTTAAGCAGACATCCTTGGGGAATGCTTTGGTCTTTGTTCAATACACGATCTTCGCCTTAAACAGGTGGACTCCCGCCCGGGTGGTACTCCCTGTGATGGTCAGGTTTATCAGGCTTCAGGTTTATGAAAGGGGAGGAATTAGTATATGAAAGAGGAGGTAATTCTGTCATTTAAGTATTTCAAATATTTTGAACACAAGCCTTATGGCTGTATCGTCTTAATTTTAAATTATTACACGGTTCATATAATGAGAAGAAGACTGTTGGTAGGTATGTTGGAGAGGCAACATTTTTCAATGGAGGGTAAACGAAATAAATAATAGAGAGGGGGGGTTATTAACTTTCTTCCCCTGAAAAGGGGGGATATTATATAGAGGGAGGGGGCTTATTTGAGAGGGGGGCTTAATAAAGGATTTACGGTATTCAAAGTTAGAATGCTTAACAATTACTGAATGAGGCTGAGTATCATCTGAAGAATGGAAATCGAGGGTGTTATCCGTCGAAGCTGTAGGCCGAGATCTCCATAATTCTTCACATTATAAGAAAGCCGAATTCAATAATTGTTTTATTATTCATTTAAAATATTTCCTAGTTACCAAAAAACAACGTAAAACAGGCTTACCCTCATTGAAGTTAAGTTCATCATCGATAGCGTGCGTTTATCGGCAAGTTTAGGAGATAAAGGGTTGTTCAGCTCCGCATATATTCTCCAAATAGCAGATGTCGTCCTTCGGGTTGTCTTCTTACTGTTCTTGCTATTTGGCCAATAGTTCGCCTACTTCTTCTTGGTGAAACGAGTGAAATGTTCCGCCATTTTTGCTCTCACTACCAAAACAAATCAACCTCGTCCCAGGGTGTTCTCGGTTAACGGTTCAATAATCTAGCAATTTGCTCCACTTTTGACGTCACTGGTTCAATATCGCAAAATATTCTTCCAAATGTGGTCTAAACAGTAGCTGGTTATGACGAATTATGCGTGTGATTTTAGCCAATCAGAAACGGAGAAATACTCTAAATGAATACTGCTTCTTATTACGATTATATTGCTTCTTAACAACACATTGTGTGAAAAAGCATAAAAGTGTGGGGGTTTTTTAAACAAAAGGTGCATTTTTCAGCCACAGACAACAAATACACAGACAACAAAATATAATATAAAAACAGTTATTTTAAAATGGGCCAAACACTCGAAAGAGTAAAAAAGTTTGGCATCTCTTCGTTATAATTCCATACATTGGTCAGAAGTGAACCCTGAAACACTAGGAGTATGGCAAATTGGGCGAGGTTCTTCACTTAATCTGCTGATCCGCTGATTAAATACCTTGGCGTGGTGGATTAGCTTGTGTGTTCCTATGACCCGGAGAGCTAAGCTGGCGGGAGCAAGTCTCCTGGCAGGTTTAACCATGCCAGACAGGTTGAAGGGTAGGAACCAGACGAAATCTTAACTAACTAGAGGAGTAAAACTCGATGACAAAAAATCCAGGAGTGGGCAGCAGCTCTTCTGTGGCACGGATAGGCAAATACCGGCAGACAGATATTATGGCTATTTGTGTTTTGATCGATGGCGGGTGATGAATGACACTGTTAAACACAACGGCATGGATCAACCATTTCTCATTAGGAGAAAACTGCGGTTACTAGTAGGAGTTGCGACCACTAGTACTGAATCGTACTTCCTCTTGGAAGTGTGAAAGCAATTGAAAAACAACATGACTAGCATACCATACTAGACTACTTCATACCACATCGCTCGTCGTGTGGGTCACCAAGGAGCGCGTCCTCCAGTGGGATGCCAGGCTGGGATCGAAAAGAATACCATACTAGACTACTTGCATATATTTGCATATTTATGGCGGGCGGACGCTAATTTTTTAGCTCCTCGTATTTTGATTATTTCGCTCTTTTCCTTGCCCATTTCATCGGTTTTTCAGTATTTTTGTTTTTCCTGTTCACCAAAATTATGCCAGAAACACGTAATTCTAAGACAACCGGCAGCTCACCAAGCGCTGACAAGAATCCCTCGAATGAATTTGTAACGACGGCGATGTTGAATGAAATGCTTCAGCTTCAAGAAAGGATGTTTAAAACCCTTGTAGATTCGCTTGTGAGCAATTTCAATTCTCGACTAGATACAGTGGTTGGAACTGTGGCTGAACTTAAAACGCGCCTAAACATATGCCAGAAGGACACAAAAGAATTCACACAAAGCCTTGAATTCTCTCAGAAAGATATCGACGAAGTGAAGCCGTGTAAAACCAAACTTGGTGAGATAGAGGATGAAATCAAGGAGATCTACGACTCTATCGACTACCATATGGACAAATTAGAATATTTGGAGAATCAGAGTAGAAGAAACAACATAAGAATTGATGGGATCTTAGAAGAAGAAAACGAATCGTGGGACACTACAGAGGAAAAAGTCAAACGAGTTGTAGCGGAGAAGCTCAACCTTGAAGAAGCGCTCCACGTCGAACGTGCTCATCGTGTCGGTAGGGTTGTTTCTGGCCCTAGAAGACGCCCTTGTACAATTGTGTGCAAGCTTCGAGATTTTAAGCAAAAGGAGCAAATATTGAAGATGACAAGAAGAATTAAACCTGTCGGTTTATACGAAAATGAAGATCTTGCTAAGGAGACCCTAGATAAGCGTGAAGAGCAGAGACCCAAGCTGGAGGAAGCAAAGCGGAATGGAAAAGTAGCGTACTTTGTATTGGACAAGTTGATTGTACAGGACAGACGAGGTTAAATCAGACAAGTTAATTAGTTACTTTACTGCTAACTTAAAATGACAGTGACACAATACTTGCTATCAGATGTACTGCCCTTTAATCATTTAGACGATTCTAGCCTTTCCCTGGCGCTATATGAACTACAGAATGGTCCTGTTCACTTTGATCCTGATAGATTTTCTAGCTTACGTTACAATCCAATTTTTTCAAACTCAAACGCTTCTTTGACACAGTCTGACAGTCTTGATCCCGACATTAATTTTAATGCAGATGACACACCCTGCGACTATTTTATTGAAAATCAATTTAACGAAATGCTCAGACGCGAAAATTATTCTGATGCCGATTTCTCTTTCCTACATCTTAATATTCGGAAGATGCTAAATCAAATACAGATGCGACCTGGGAAATTTTAAACGAAGTCTTAAATAGAAAAAAGTCAAGGCCTCAATTACATACAATATTTAAGTCAGACGGTCAGGAGATTTCTGATCCAGTGGAAGTAGCAAATAGGTTTTGCACTACTTCTCTAGTATTGGTCCCAACCTCGCAAAGAAGATACAGCCTCCTCCTTGTTCACATAAAGATTTTCTATCTGGATCATTTCGAGAATCAATCTTTTTTAGCCCAACAACAGAGGATGAAATTATTACCATTGCTCAATCCTTTGCTTCCGCGAAAGCGGCTGGATACGATAATATTCCAGTGTCTATAATTACGGAATCCATTCAAATCATTTCGGGACCTCTGGCTCACATTATGAACTTATCGATCGCTCATGGCGTTGTACCAGATCAAATGAAAATAGCTCGTGTGGTACCACTGTTTAAAGCTGATGACCAGTCACTATTCATCAACTATAGGCCTGTCTCGGTTCTACCAAGCTTTTCAAAATTTCTAGAGAGAATCATCTATAATCGTTTGTATGATTATTTAACTAATTTACATATTCTCTGTGATAACCAGTTCGGCTTCAGGAAAAAACACTCTACGACGCTTGTCTTGATTGATTTTCATGAAAAAATTTCATCTGCTATTGATCGTGGTGAACTAGCGGTTGGTGTTTTTTAAGATCTCTCTAAAGCTTTCGATACAGTCAATCATTCCATCTTATTTGATAAACTTGAACACTATGGTATACGTGGCTTGGCTCTGAAATGGATTAAGAGCTATTTTTCCAACAGACTTCAATTTGTAGAATACAATGGTTATGTTTCGTCTTGTGCTAATATCAAGTATGGCGTTCCCCAAGGTTCAATACTAGCGCCTTTGTTTTTTCTGCTCTACATCAACGATATAATCAACACGTCAACAACATTACAACTGATATTATTTGCTGATGATAAAAACGTTTTTGTGTCTCACAAGGATAAAAACTGCCTGACTAATATACTGAAAGCTGAGTTAAATAAGTTGTCATTATGGTTTAGAGCTAACAGGCTTTCATTAAACTTGAAAAAAACCAAATTCATTGTATTTAAACCATGCCAAAAGCGTACAAATCAAACTATTCAACTTTTATTTAATAGCCAAAAAATTGATCAAGTAAAAGAAACAGTTTTCTTGGGAGTAATCATGGATGAAAATTTAAATTGGAGATCTGAAATCTCACATGTCGCCAATAAAGTTTCTAAATGTACCGGAATTATTCGTAAATCCAGTTTCTAAAACCTTACGAACACTAAATTTTTCTCTAGTCTATCCATACTTTTTTTTACTGCAACTTAGTTTGGGCCTCCACTTACAGAACTAACCTTATTCGTCTTGACATTTAACAGAAACGGGTGATCAGAACTATCGCTAAAACCACTTTCGATGCACATACTAATCCAATCTTTCAAAATCTTGGTATCTTAAAATTTCATGATATATACTTAATAAAACTAGGCTTATTCATGTACTCCTATCAAAACCATACTCTACCTTTAAAATTTCATTGTAAATTTACTTTTAAAAGTCAAATTCATTCGTATAATACAAGAAACTCGTGTGAATTTCGTCTGCCTTTCTGTCTTACTCGAACCAAACAATTTTCCGTTTTTTATCAAGGACCTAAATTTTACAACACCTTAAACACCAACATCATCAACGCTTCCTCACCATTTTGCTTTAAAAGAGCACTTAAGGCATTTATTTGTCATAATTATTAGTATACTCCAACAGAAATCTTGCGAAAAAGCCTTTTAATATTCAACATTATTTGTAAACTTCCGTAATATTGATTAGTTTAATTTTCCACCTGATATTATTTTGTATCCGTCGCCGTAATTTTTACTGCCATCTTCGAAAAATAATTGAGGAGGCCTAATTAACATAAGCTCTATAGTTTCCTTTAGGTCTCCTCGCCATTTCTTCCTACATTTTTTTTTTGGCATTTCTTTGTAATTATTGTAATCGTTTGGCAAATAAATAAATACAAATACAAATACAAATAGAATGCTACTGGCCAAAACATTTCGAAGGATTGCCGGCTTTTTAAGTGTAGAAAGACTACTCTTGTTTCAACTTTCAACTGTCGCACTCTGAGCTCCATTAGAAGGACATGTGAACTAACTGCAATAGCTCAGAAACAGAACGTTGATGTCATATGTATCGAAGAACATCGGATCTACCATGATGACATCGAGCTGAAGTACCATGGCATGAAGAAAGGTTGGATTATGATTACATCTTCCGCTGAAAAAGCTACAAATAACTCAACAATACGAGGTGTTGGCTTACTTCTCAGTCCGAAAGCACACAAAGCACTGAACTCGGTAGAAACCATCAATCCAAGGACTCTCACTGCCACTTTCAATGGAAATCCTGCTGTTACTGTCATATCCTGCTACAGCCCCACCAATGTATCTAACGCGGACGTCATAGAGGAATTCTATGCAGAATTATCAGCACTGACTAAGGCTGTTCCTAAACACAATGTCTTACTAATTGGTGGGGATATGAATGGAAAGATTGGTGCAAGTGATGCTAAGGGGTCAGTCTACAACAAAAACACCAACGAGAATGGGCAACTACTCCTAAACTACATGTTAGAATGCAATCTCAAACCGCTGAACACCAGTTTTATGAAGCGCGAAGGTAAGCTTTGGACTCATACAACACCATCTGGAACCAAATGTCAAATAGATTATATCCTAATAAACAGCAAATGGAAAAATAGCGCTTTATACTGTGAAGTATATAATAAATAGAATAGACTAGATGGTAGGTACACAAGAATGCTCAGAGCAGTTCTTGGAATTTCCTAGAAGGAGCATAAAACCAACAAAGAACTGCACGGCAACCTTCCTAACATTACAGATACACTGCTGATCAGGAGGCTGCGGTTTATAGGACACTGTTGGAGAAAAAAGGATGAGGTGATAAGTGAACTACTACTCTGGAAGCCAAAGCACGGCGCAAGAAAGAGAGGAAGGCCAGCAACAACATATGTAAACCAGCTGCGAAATGATACTGGTTTGAGCATTGCGGAACTGAAGAGCATCATGGGAAACCGGAAGGAATGGATGAAGCTAGATAATGGAGTTCGAGTTCGCTCGAAATAAGCAAGCAAAGTAAGCATCCTCAGTATTAATCTTTTCATCAACTGGACATTGCTCTCCTGAGAATCCAGAAGCTAAAGCGTGTGTTTTTGCAACAGTCTGCTTTTCAGTGACAGAAACACCCTTTGGTATGTCAGAGGCATCTTCTAGTGTGAGAACAAGCCTTTACTGAGCTTCTAACAAAATAATGTGTATATGTTTTTGTAAAAGTGGAAGCTAAAAATACAATATTATAATCTAAGTGGTGCAAAATGCCTTTTTAAAAAGGTGAGTCTTCAACTTTCTCTTAAAAGTGTCAATAGAAATGGATTCCCTGAGATGTCTTGGCAGAACATTCCATAACGTAGTTGCGGCAAACAAAAAGGCTAAGTAAGTAAGGTACTGTCGCTAGAACTTCTTAAGTTATATTTAGATACAGGCTTAGGATTAATTAAAAAAACTTAAGTATGAAGGTGCTAATCCCTTGAAAATCTTAAAATCAGCAGGATTTTAAATTCAATTCTGAACTTTACAGGCAGCCAATGTATATCTACTAATGAAGGAGTAAGGTGACAATATTTAATTTCATTGCATATTAATCTAGCACACATGTTCTGCACACGCTGTAGCTTTTTGAGTTGATACTCCGGCAGGCCATATAAAAGACTGTTACAGTAATCGATTCTTCTTGAAATAAAGGCATGAACCAGAGTCTTGGTGTTGTTTTTAGATAGATACTTTCTTATGCGTCTCAGATTAAACAAATAGTAGAAGGCAGAGTTACATGTTTTTGAAATATGGATTGCCAACGTCCGCTTAGAATCAAACCATGAGCCCAAGTTCCTTGCAGACGACACAGGAGTGATAGTTGCAGTTCCGACACGAAGGCTATTAATGGATACTTTAGCTAGTTGCTGCGATGTGCCAATGATCATGATTTCAGTTTTATCATCGTTCAGTTTCAATTTGTCGTTCAAATTTTAAACAAAAGTTTAACTTTTTAAAGTACTACAAATGCATTTTAAGATTACAATCCAAAACGGTTCCTATTCGGTTATACAGTCAGCTCTTGCAAGCTTTGAGGTAAAATATTAGAAAGGAAAAGCAGGCATCTTAAAATTTCAAGTAGCCAATTTTATTTTTGCATGTTTGTCACAGCCCAACACAAAATTGACTGTCTTTGTATGTTATCCTTTAGAAGCATTTTAAAAGACAATACTAAACTTCAAGTGACGATCTACACATCTACACATTTCTAAGGAAAGTAATCTTTTAGTATTGAGAAGTATATTATAACCATATTTATTTAGCTGCCCTTACTTTTCACGATAAAGATAAAAAATTCTGGGACAACTCGTACAATGTACTAAATTTGCAGAGAGAGATGATAGTACTGTACCTGCCAGCACACTCGATAATGTGGTCAAAGAACTGCATGTATTCAGTGCTTGTGAAAGACTATCACTGCATTCTTACATTTGCGTATATGGTGCCACGAAAACTATACTAGAGTAATGTCTGCACAGAAAACAACAAACACCCCAACTTTGAATGGAGGGGACAGAGGAGGGGTGTGGATTCTTTTGTTCTCTGAAGTTACCCTGTTTGAGCACAATGTCTCAACAATTTTGTCGCCGACTGTAGGTTGATATTCCATGAGAATCTATTGATTGGGCAAGAAACAAGTGTCCGTTTTCCCTATTAACGGGTGTCCGTGTATTAAGAGAATTTAGAGAAAATGTAAGGGCTTTACCTAGGGACAAGGAAATTGTCCGTAATAACGAGGTATCGGTAAGGCGGGGTTCGCCGAGGTGACTGTTTTTTCAATATCATTGTTACATGCTAAAACTTTGAAGTTTTTGCACCTAAATATCCAGGTGGGCCATCTTTTCAGAAAATCACTATTCCTGAACCTTCACAGAGAGGAGACGTCGTTACGTCACGTTCACCTGGTAGCAAAATTTTTGGATGACAACAAACCGAAAAAGTTACTTAAAAGTCTATTCGAACTATTTCAAACTTCGCCGATCTTATTCAGTTTCATTCAATTTGCCAAATCTTGGCGAAATTTTCTTTGGGACCATATCTAACGTTATCTAAGAAAATGAAAGGGACGATTTTTGTGTTGTGTTCACCCCTACTCCATAAAGCGGGCTCGTGAAATTAAGTTTCATGTCGTAGTGGTACAAGGCGGCAAAGAAATGTACAAAATAGCGTGATGCACGTGCAAAGTTATTGTTTGTTAATATAAACATATCATTTTTGCTGATCTCCTCGCTGTTGCCTTCGTCGTTGGTTTTGTTGTCATCCAGAAATAGTGCTACCATGGTAACGTGAAGTCACACTTCTCCTCTCTATTACTACTGTACCAACCTATCAAAATAATTAGCTTGTTACTTACCTATACTAGAAGTTGATCCTGCAATGTTTTGCAAACTCCAGCTGTTTAGAGATTCCTTTGCCAAGGAAGATGCACCTTCATGACTAGCTATCTTGGAGGCCATATGCTTCTTAAAAAAGATTCCGCTATCCTCACTTGAAGTACCTGGATTTAAGAGACGGCTCTTGCGAAGGTATTCATTATTACAGAATGGCTACTCAAGCAAATTCACCATAGCCAAAGAGCATTAAAAAACTCATCCAAGCCCCCACAAAGGAAGTTTAGATATCACAGATTCACGATATTAGACGCATAATTGAATGTCTAAGAAATGATACTGTTTATAGAAATTCGACGAAAGATACAATTTGCAAAATTGGGAATTTTGTTCGCATATATTTTTGAAAATATTTGTCGCTAAGCTATTTTTAATGGCATAGCGGAGAATTCAGGACTTAAACCACGTTAGGAGATCACTCTTTTGCTGTTGCTGCTCTCAAACTTTGGAATTTGTTTCCTCTTGCGATATAGAGGAGCCCCTCAGTCGCCATTTTTCAGGGGAAACCAACGATGGTTTCCTACTAAATGCATCATGAAAAGCGTTTTTAGGCTATCCAGTTTACTTTTAGATCTCTAGAAACGTATTCTAAGCGGTGCTATAAAATTTGTATCTGTTCGGTCATCCTACGGGAATTTGAGGCTTTTCGAAATCTCAAGGGCTACAGTGTTATTTTCTCGAAAAGTTTAGATGTAATTGAACGTTTTACTAAAGTGATAATTTTTCTTATTACTCTCTCCAGCACGTTTTTGAATCCGACAATTTTAGGTTTCTTTTTCTAGGAAAATTAGCCTAACATAAGGAGTAAAATATGAAAAGTGAAACTTCAGAAAATCGTAGGTTATTTTGTAGATAAGCTTCGTAAAATAGTACCTGAATGGAACGCTTATCTAGAAAGTATTAGCCGTATTCAAGCAATAGAAAATTCTAGGCAATATTTACTTCTCCGAACAGATATTTTACACAAAAGAGTCGTTGGGTGTCCCTGATTTTTAAGAAGGTACTCGGGACATTTTCATTCCAGAAAGCTTTTATGTCATTTGATGTAACGTTCTTATTTGTTTTTAGTAGGTTTTATGCAGTTAGTACAGTTTTAGTACGCAAAGTAATTTTTCTAATTTTAGTGTTTAAAACCTTTTTTGTAACCGCTGATGAAAATGGCGCCTATCAAGCGACTATTGATATCGGCGCTATATATCAATAATACACTTCTACAGTACGAGCGTAAACCGTAACAAGTCCTGTAGGAAAAAGTACCTTTGAATAACCTAACAATCATTTCCCCCCTTTAGATATAGTACTGTACTATTGAGCAATAGCAAGAAAAACAACTCATGTTTTTGCATACCTGGATTACAACGGAATTCTGACATTTTACGCTTACGGCTATTTTGAGACTGACAGTCTGTATTTGTGGATATTTCAGTTGGATTTCCTGATGCAGCATCAGCTTTCATTTCATAGTCACTACTAAGGGACGTTTCTGAAACAAGCTGCTCGTCCTGATAAGAGTTCGTTCTTTGGTTGTTGTCAATTTCTGTAGAAGGCTCTGCAAAAACAAGCTTTGGTTACAATTATATTCTCTTTGAAACTTGAGGCTTAGTCAATTCCAGGTGTGCCCATTCCTCTCCGGGGCGGACATTTGTTGGGCATAATATATTAGGTTGTGTATTCCTGGGATAGAAGCTCAGCGGCCGGTGTATTATTTCTCTCCCCTTCCCTATTTTTTGTTCGCTCTCGCGCGCCTCCCGCGCTTCGCCCACTTCGTTAAGAATACACAGAAATGATTTCTACGCATGCTGTCTACGAAGATACCTTCATGGTCCTCAGTCATGCTTTGCATCCTCTGAGACGCGTTGCACTTTGATTCTAAGGAGCTCCCGGCCTTTAGAGAATCTTCTGTTGCAAGAAAATGGAGAAAACATGCTACTGGGGAGATTATGTATCAAATATGTTATGTGCTGCACATAAAGGCTATGACCGAAGGGTATGACGACCGCTCTCCACAGACCATTCCGCTGAAACTACCTCAGCACTTACAACAGTTGTCATTATAAACAGCCAAGATGACAACGTTTAACTGGATTTTTGCACTTACTGCTTTTTCACTTATATTAAATGTTTCGACAAAAAAAAATTAACCAGTTTCAGCGTGCAAAGAAAGTCGTGTCCGATAGCCCGGGGCTAGTGGATTTTGTTATCGGGCTAGTGATTTTTGTTCTTAACTTGCCCGACGGGCAAGTGCTGTTTTTGGGGGAAATTCAAATTACAGAAGGATGGTAATTAATCCTGCTAATCAAAAAGGGTTTTGGGGCTAGTTGAAATGACTTGTGGGCTAGTACATGCTATAGTTGACTTTCTTTGCACCCTGAGTTTTTATCCACTTTATTTGCTTATTAAAATATTCGATACAGCAATAAAAATTGTTCCATAAAACGTGTTAAGGCAAAATGCATGTTCCCAGAAAAAGCTCTACTAAGACTGCCCAACTCACCTGAGTTTTCCATGAAAGCTTTCTTACAAACTAAGTAATTTTCTTCTTCTATAGTTGTCTTTAACCTGACATTGTCTATCCCGAGCTTTCTCTTGAGTTCATCAGTTACCAGGAACCTTTCAACGATGTCATTAAGGTAACCAGAACAGTAACCATTCCACAGACTTTCAAGACTCTCTAGACTGGGGCACTGTACTGTTATTATCAAAGATCCTGGTTGCACAAACAATACGACCACTTCAAAAGCCTTTTCTATAAACTCAGCCAGGCGGGCTACTCTACTAACAAATGGCAATGACGAAAGATCTTGGTGTCTTCGGTACTTATGAGCCAACTGCTCTAATTCTTTAGTTATCGTTCTTTGCTGTTCAACAGTTAAATCTTGGGCATTTGAAGAAACTTTAACTTGGATAAAGGCAGTAGTAAGAACAGAGTCTGAAAATCAATAACAGGAAAGTTAAACGTTTTTTAAACTATTAGCAACAAAACATTCAGTAGGCACAATAACCTAACACTTTTTACCCACTTACACAAATTTACGTGGTTAATATAATTTTTACTGTTGTGTGAGAGGTTCCTTCCTCAGGGAAGATGTACTTTCATGACTAGCTATCTTGGAGGGCATATGCTTCTTAAAAAAGATTCCGCTATCCCCACTTGAAGTACCGGCTATATTTAAGAGACGGCTCTCGTCAAGGTACTCATCGTTACTGAATGTCTACTCAGGCGCATCAACCATAGCCAAAGAGGTTTAAAAACCTCATCCAAGCCTCCACTAGGCACCTTGGTTAGGGCGTTAGCAGAGATTCACAATAATAGCTGTGTACTTGAATGTGAATAGAATGTCAACGTTTATAGCAATTCGATGAAAGATACAATTAGCAAAATTGGAAAACCTGTTGGCACATTTTTTTTTTAAATGGCATAGTGGAGAATTCAGGACTTAAAACACGTTAGGAGATCGCTTTTCTGCTTTTACTGCGCTTAAAGTTGGGATTTATTTCTTTCTGCGATATGGAGAAGCTCCCCAGTTGTCATTTGAAAGAAGGCACTCAAGACATTTTCATTCCAGACAGCCCTTACAATGTATGTAATAAGATGTAATTTTTCAGGAGGTTTTATGCAGTATCCACAGTTTAAGTAACCAAAGTAATTTTTATAATTTTAGTGTCGATATCTTTTAATTTTTTTTATATATTTATATATTGATCGGTATTTATTGTTTATTCAAAATATTTTTTATTTATACCTATATATAAACGCTGATAAAAATGGCGACTATCCAGCGACTATTGATATCGGGTGTGCCGTCACGCCACTGAACGTTATATAAACAATCATTTTTCTGTTTCGTGATTATTTCCGCTTGAGACGTAGGTTAGTCATTTTAGAGATAGTATCTGTTGTAAATCCTTATTATTGGTCAATCTGTTACGCTCGGATTTCCTTTAGCAAAGTATAATAGTCATTGTCTTATTTACTCTCTAGTTTTTTCACATCAACCCAGCCTATGTAAGTTCTTTCCTTTTTTACCTTATAAAAAGTGATTTCAGCTTCGCTGGTTATGCTGCCCTATCTCGGCCAAGACCACATATCGGTCGAGGTAGCGGAACATCGGGGCTAGTGTAAGTTTTACCATTACTAATAATACACTTCTACAGTACGAGCGTAAACCGTAACAAGTCCTGTAGGAAAAAGTACCTTTGAATAATCTAACAATCACTTGCCCCCTTTAGATATAGTACTGTACTGTTGAGCAATAGCAAGAAAAAACAACTCATGTTTTTGCATACCTGGATTACAAGAGAATTCTGACATTTTCCGCTTACCGCTATTTTGAGACTGAGAGTCTGTATTCGTGGATATTGTAGTTTGATTTCCTGATGCAGCATCAGCTTTCATTTCACAATCACTACGAAGGGACGTTTCTGAAACAAGCTGCTCGTCGTCGTAAGGGTTTGTTCTTTGGTTGTTGTCAATTTCTGTAGAAGGCTCTGAAAATGTAGCTGAAGAAATAGAAATGTTTTGCTGTTATCAGAGCATAACTTTCAGTGTTTTATAAAACTATTATTCGCGAATATTTTTATCAAGACTTACGGGAAAAACTTGTAAGCGATCCCATTTTTGTTTCTTTTCACTTTTACGTCGAGCTTGCTTTAGCTGCCAGACTCCAAAAATGGAAGCGTTTCTTTTTTTTTGTACAGGGTGTTCTCGCCAAATGGTGAATCATGGTCCCAGGTGTTGGTCAGAAGTGAGCCCTGAAACGCTAGGAGTATGGCAAACTGAGGGAGATTCTTCACTTAATCTGGTTGCATCCTCAGTTTTCGTCTCTTCATCAACTGGACATAGCTCTTCTGAGAATCCAGAAGCTGAAGGATGTGTTTTTGAAACAGGCTGCTTTTCAGCGGCAGAAACACCCTTTGGTACATCAAAGGCATCTGGTGTGAGAACAAGCCTTTGATATCGGCTTCTTACACAATAATGTTTATATGTTTTTGTAACCCATTCACCTCTGCGCCAGCCATAATCACCTGTGTGGAACCACGTCCCATGTGACACTAAAAATAAATTTTGACGGTCACGGACAACTTTGACCCTTAAATGTGATGGAGACCCTTATTCCACACATCACAGATCTTTTCATTCATTCAAATTCACTTTGACAACTTCCAGTAAAATTTTAAAAGGCGTGTATAAAACATTTAAGCTTCATTATTATAAAGAAAAAGTAGGCATCTCAAAATTTCAAGTAGCCCATTTATTTTTGCATGTTTTTCACAGCCCAACACAAAATTGACTGTCTTTGTATGTTGTCCTTCAGTAGCAGTTTAAAAATAACAACACTGAAATTCAAGTGTGGCTCTACACTTAAAAGAATTGAAGGTGACTTCTTAGGAAAGTAACTTCTTAGGAATGTAAAGAAGTATATTATTGTCTTGGCCATATTTATCTAGCAAACAATTTAGTCGTCAAATATTCCGGAACAACTCGTACATGTACTAAATTTGCAAAGAGAATTTATAGTGCTTGAAAATGTGGTCAAAGAACTACATCTATTCAGTGTTTGTGAAAGACCATCGCTGCACCCTTATATCTGCATATATTGTGCCACGAAAACTACATTACTGTAATGTCTGGTACAACATAATCAATTATGCGCATCACCACTTAACAAATAACACTCACCATGACTCATTTTCCACATTCTGTTCACAAGGGCTTCACACTGCTCCTTCCAACTGTACATCTCCCCATAAGACGCTCTCAGTGATTTTATCTCTTGAAGCCTCATTCGATGCCTTATACGAACAGCTTCTATTGCTTTTGCCCATTTTGCAGGGTCATCTGAACTAACGATGCATGCATTACCATGAGGAACATTTTCTAATGCTTTGGCAAAACCTGACCTACTGCCTACAAGAATGGGTAGTCCCGCAGACAAGGCCTCAAGGGCAACAAGACCAAATCCCTCTGATTTTGATGGCATGATGGCAAGGTCAGCTTCACACAACAAATCTTTCAGTCTGTCTCTACTTTGGATAAATTTTCTAATAGTCAACTGTGCTTCGGCAATACCACGCTGTAGAAGTTTTTGTCTAACTTCTTCTTGCTTTCCTTCAGGTGCCCCGACAAAGAGTAGATGGTAAGGTTTGTTTTTTAACCGTTGATCAGTAAATGCCTTAGCAGCAATGTTGTATCCTTTGAGTTCAAAGTCCTCATCATCCCCACGACCAAATAACAACACTTTGAATTCAGCATCCTCGTTAGGATCTTGTTTTGCCACTAGATCCCCAAACTCCCTTTGAAAAAGACCTGGAGTAATAGATAAAACGTCTTGATCTGTCTTACATCGCTGTAAATATGAAGTGTATGCTTCTTTCAGTTTGGGTCCCACGGACACAACAAGGTCAGCAAGTTTGCAAAGTTCAACTTCTGATTCGTGTTTTGTTTCACCTTTTGAAATGGGGTCACTGTAGCATTTGTACTTGCTTAAGTCCTCTGGAGCAGTATGCACCACTTGTACCCACTTACAATTTGGACATTGTGCAGAGTCTCTGATGAATTGAACTTGCCGACCAAGTTTTACACCATGACCAACAACGATGTCCATAACATGATCCTTGGGTGGTGAGCTTAACCAAACAAGACGATCAAATGCAGCACGTCTCTTCGCCTCAACGACAGTGATTCCATAGGTAAGGGCTTCATTTTTTTCTTCATAATTGCAAGCTCCCTCGGGGACTAACAACGAAACATTCACTGCTGAATGACTTGAAAGGTGAATAGCAAGCTCTCTGTTTATGGTCGACAACCCACCAGCAGATGAACTCCACTCACCACCAAGAAGAGTAACATGTAACGCTCGAACACTGGTCTCAGGAGAGCAAGCCTACAAAAACATGATGACGATGGTGATGATGATGATGATGATGATACCAATAATGATGACGATGTTATGATAATAGGGCTTTTCAGGGATAGCTGAAACTAATATTTTATCACGGGTGGTGAATTACTCCTTAATTTTGGAACAAAATTTCATCGTTAATTTAGAATTTTACATATGAAATTACAAAACTGCCATGGCAACCTTGCGTACGTGTCAGTGCTAAGATGGCAGCAGAGTGAAGATATCAGGGCATTAAAAGATGCTTTGGAAAACCTAAACACACAAAAGAGCACATCAAGAAGGATTCTATCAGGTATGTTGTTGAAAAATTCTGAAAATTCTGAGCTTAAGCGAAAAAAATTTAAGCTCTAACATGTTCATTGCATGGAGTTCTACATTGATAATCAATTCGATGAACACTGTCAAAAACCTATGATTGTGAACATAATTTGCCACCCATGATATTTATAGATAACAAAGGCGAGAGGAAATATTAGGATTTCGACAAAATGCAAGTGAAATTATTCCCTAATTTTACGAGTATACCATTTCCCTGCTAGCAGGTCTCTCACAATGAGGAGTGGTGAGGGACCTCTGCTAGCAAGAGAGGTATATAGAAGTATTTAATAAATAGAGCATAGCATGGTTAAAAATCCCAACTGGTGTGAGGTAAACCAGTTGGCATTTTACAAGCGTGGTGGAGGATCTGGACTAGTAACTACCAAGAACAAGTCCAGCTAGCAGGACTTGAACTCCAAATTACAAGTCCAGTGCTCGGCCATGCTGCCTCTTTTTTTTTTACACCACACCCACATAATTTGCTTCACTCTTCTATTTCTAACTCTTCACATTTATCTCTTGTCATCCAAAACTAATAAGACAATGATTAAGTTTCTTACATGATACTTGCAGGGTCTTGACCATAAAAGAGAGTTTACATGTATATGGAAGCATTTAGTTGGGAATGGCAAAATAGCTTCTTACATGTATAAGAACTTATTGCATGTAAGTCATTAATAAGCTATGTCTATATCAGTCAGTGTTAATGGGATAGCATTAAAAGATAAACCTTATTTTAATAGTGCAGCAGTCACAGAAAAAATAAAAATGAAAGACAACACATTAATAGCAATTTAAACAACAATTTGCTTTATATAACCAACTAATTATATAAGTTGATTCAATAAATAAATAAATAAGCCCTTTATTAATTCCAAAAACAAACATAATTCCAGATTACAATTCACAAACATTACATAAAATTGAAAAGACACCTATTAATAAAACACTGTTTAAAATGTTCAGTCTTAATTTGATGAAGTACAAAGGAGTGACCCTGATTTCTTAGCACCCTTTTTTTTCTGGGTGGGAGGAGTTCTGCCAAAGGGACCTCCGTATAATTTGTGATGCTTTTCACAACTTATTATCTTAGGCCTGTAGAAGGCTTAAAACAGGCATGGCCTTCTTGAGAAAGCCAAAACAAACTGCTTTCTTCTGAAACTTATCAATTTTAGAAAGAAATACTCATTATAACTTGTAGTACCCCACACTGAAATGCTATAGGTAGGAAGAGGTATAATCAGACCATGTAAGAGATCTAGACTATAGCGATACTTCTTACACACTTGTAATGTGTGTATAATTTGCTTGTCCAAAGAAGTTTGGTACTGGGTTCCCTCAACCAACACAATTACTGTAAAATTAAGTGCATCTGTCAGAATCAACAGCTTGTATATGCTTCAAAGTTAAGAAAACAGAATAAGCCCTAGTATAGTACCCTGAGGTACACCCTATTGATACGCAAAAGGGAGGTCAGCTATGACTCTTTGTTGCCTACTAAAAAAATTAACAATCCAAACTGCCATGTAGGGATTTTTGGGCAATAAGCTAAACTTGATAAATAAAATGAAGTTACAATGTAGAGGTAGAATGGCCAAATGTTGTAATTCACCTCCCCCACCCCCCTTACCCCACCTAATGAATGCTAAACAGGCTTCAGAAACTGGCCCTTTCATTCAAACAGGAATTAATTAAGCACCAACATGATTTCTGTCAAATACTAGTGTTATTCTCAAACTAGTCATGCAATTTGATAAATTAACAGCTTACAACATTTCGAGTTTACAGTTTTGTTTAAGAGTTTCAGAAATGAAGGATTCCTTTTAAATCCAAAGGTAAAATGTCACAGTTAAATTCAATGGAGTGCAAATATTTTTTACTTTTTTTTTTATAAAACACTTAAACTTCAATTAGGTGTATACATATGTAACCATACAAATAGATTAAAGTTGACTACAAACAAACAATGCATTTAATAATAAATTTCTTGTATCTTTTGTATTGAAGGCACTCAGTAAAAATGTCTCCTCACGGTCAGTCAATATGTTGACCAAATCTCGGTCAATATTGGTTGACATTAGTCAACATGTCCACCATGTCAGTCAACATGTCAGCTGACATATCAACAGTATAGTATAATTTGAATAAAATGTAACATTTGTAAGAATAATTAAGAAAAAGACTGAACCTCTGAATTGTCCAGGCTCCTTGTTGCTTTCATGGTCTCAGGATGATCAGATGAGGAAGCCATGGCTGATGAATAGAAGGAGAATATAAGTCCTCACTATAGTAACATATTAATCACACTGCCCACAAGTCAGATTATATGATGTGACTCTCTCATGTCAGTGTCGTCATTAAGCAAAGGTATTTATCCAGTGAATAGTGGTATGAATCGCCATTTATTATGAAAGGGTCAGACTAACAGGCCTGGCATTAGGTAAGGATTTGTAGAGCACTTTACAAGGTGTAGACATTGACTAGGCAAACACAATATTGTAAACGTCAACTTGCCTATAGATGCACTTCTTTTTTAGGATTGACTCTCGCCTACTTGTTTGGCTTTTTGTTTTTTAGGGGTATTAAGACGACAAAGAACACAGGCAACCAGTTTTGCAGGATGTTCAATATTGTTCACTGCAATTGAGTGGTACTGAAATGATCCAATTGGTTTAAATCAAGGCTCCTGTCTTATAAGTGTCCCTCCAATAGACCTTTCCCACATTTCCGTAAACAAAGGCACCAACTTGAGGCTCAGGTGGACAAAATACAGTGATTTGTGTGAAATTCTTTATCTTTGCTCACAGGAGCGTAATGAAGGAAAGGTCCATGGATGTTTAGTCTGTATCATTCCTCGCAAAAGCGAATTCTGTCGTGCGTCTTAGCGGCGAGTGATATTGCCTGGTCCATGTATATGTGGTTGGTATCCGACTTGATGTCACCTGCTTGACGTCATGCAGCATTAATTGTGTTTCCAGGCAACTATTTTTGGTGCACTATCATGTTTCATTGACATGAAGGGCTGATCTGTGAAATAATGTTTACTCGGTGAATCGCAAGCAACTTCTCATGCAAATATCACGGAGTTGCAAACGCAACAATAGTGGAACGTTGAAGCAATTTGGGCCAGTATTTTCCAAAAAATGAGCGAAAATCAAGATACAGGAGCAATTTTCAGTGCGTATCACTTCGCAGACAAGTTTGCTTATAAATATGTCCCACGACGTTTCTCCAACGTGCTTTTCAGTTTGGCTTTTTAATTACCCTCAAAACCTTCCCTTTTTCAGCCTGAAGTCTAGTTTGGAATTCACTTTACACTGTGGAAAATATATCAGTCTGTCAGCTTCCCCGCCAATATTTTGATCAAAGTTTCACCTCTGCACTAGTAATTTTCATGATAATTTTCTTGTGAACTGCACAGTGGTGTTTGTGTTTTTTTCCTAAATGCAGCAGGCAAAATAATGCTAAATATGCATTTCAATACACATTCTAAAATAACACCACACAATACGCAATGGTGCTGATAACAAAAACTTGCTAACTAGGATAGCCTTCCATAGGGGGTTGGGGATGGGGAGGGAGTGCTGATAAAAAAATGAAGTGTCCCAATCCAACCAACTACGTACATTGTCTCTTGTTTTAAACAGATAAGTCAACAGTTACTTGAACCTCCCAAAATGCCCCTTCCTTGTTCATTTGCTCTTGTGAACGTCTTGGCGATCACAACAAGGTTGATTGTGTCAGCCATGTCTTGTGTCAGTGAACAAGCATGCAACTGCGTAACTGATCTGCCTAAGGTATGTTCTGAGGCGTCTGAGGGCGAAAAAACTTCTTTCCAATGTACAGACTCATGTTTTCAAAAAAATTGAAGTTGGTCATGCATACAGCAAAATTGAATGCAGGAAACCCAACTGATACATTGGAAACCCAATCAATTAAAGTTTTGTAAAAAAATAGTGTTTTTAAGTACTATTATAATGAGTTGACCATGGTAAAATAAAAGATTGTTATTTATTATTCTACAAAAGTTGCGGGGGTCGGTGGGGTAAACGCTTCTGTCGCCTATGTTAGTAGTTGAAACATTTCGATGCAGGGGGAGGTGGTGAGGGGATTGAGTTAATAACTTGGCGCCAATTAATTACCACTGATTAATCAAAAAACTCCGTTACACTTTAATTTCTACGCACATAAGCTTATTGTGTAAGTCTCGATCCCTTGATCAGTTGATGTTAGTTAAATCAGTGTTCAAAGCCGGAAGTGAGTTGATCGTATGATTTTCTCATCATAATACATAAAAACCATTAACACTTTTCATCTCGGTTAAAGCTGATTAAACTTTCAAGTTACGGTTAAGAGGAGTTCATTAATATTGAAGCGAGAAA